ACACACACACACACACACACACACACACACACACACACCACACACACACACACACACACACACACACACACACACACACACACACACACACACACACACACACACACACACACACACACACACACACACACACACACACACACACACACACACACACACACACACACACACACACACACACACACACACACACACACACACACACACACACACACACACACACACACACACACACACACACACACACACACACACACACACACACACACACACACACACACACACACACACACACACACACACACACACACACACACACACACACACACACACACACACACACACACACACACACACACACACACACACACACACACACACACACACACACACACACACACACACACACACACACACACACACACACACACACACACACACACACACACACACACACACACACACACACACACACACACACACACACACACACACACACACACACACACACACACACACACACACACACACACACACACACACACACACACACACACACACACACACACACACACACACACACACACACACACACACACACACACACACACACACACACACACACACACACACACACACACACACACACACACACACACACACACACACACACACACACACACACACACACACACACACACACACACACACACACACACACACACACACACACACACACACACACACACACACACACACACACACACACACACACACACACACACACACACACACACACACACACACACACACACACACACACACACACACACACACACACACACACACACACACACACACACACACACACACACACACACACACACACACACACACACACACACACACACACACACACACACACACACACACACACACACACACACACACACACACACACACACACACACACACACACACACACACACACACACACACACACACACACACACACACACACACACACACACACACACACACACACACACACACACACACACACACACACACACACACACACACACACACACACACACACACACACACACACACACACACACACACACACACACACACACACACACACACACACACACACACACACACAGACATCATCGCGAAAATAGTCAAAACGGATTCAGGGGACCTCAAAACGTAAAAATCCGTCGAAAACTCGAGGTCGAAAAAAATCATGATTCCTATACTTTCCTTATATCTGTATACAGATAGGAAAGTAAAAAGTCGATTTTTAGCAGTCGGAATAATCTATTTTTCCGGGTTCTAGTTAAAAAATTGATTTTTCGGGTTCTATCGATTTTCACGAGTTCTAAATTGGAATAGTCTATTAAACAAGTTGAAAATAAAAATAAATCGATTTTTCCGGGTTCCAAATCAAAGTAAGCTATTTTTCGAGTTCTAAATTGGAATAATCTATTTTTTCTAATTATAAGTCGGAAAAATCAATTTTTCCGCAGTTCTAAGTCTAAATAATTAATTTTTTCTAGTTCTAAGTCAGAAAAATCAATTTTTTCCAAGTTGTAAGTCGGAATAATTTATTTTTCCGACTTTATTTGTAAATCAGAAAAATCGATTTTTACGCTTTCTATATCGAAATAATCTATTATCCGAGTTCTTAGTTGGAATCATCTATTTTTCTTATCGTTTGGCTAATACCCCAACAGGCATTGCATTATATCAAAATCAGAGATGGCCAGATATAGAAAATAATATTCAACACTTTACCTTTTATTTTGATTCCTAAGGAGAAAATCATTCTTGCATCGGTTTCGACCCTATTAGGAATCTTCAGCAAGAAATATATTATTAATAATATTATTCGCTGTAGTTTTAGTTTATTTGTTTTAATTTTTCTATATATTTGTTCTTGTAACAATCAATATTATGAATTTATGTTATATTAATATAATCTATTTTTCCTAGTTCTAAGTTGGAATAATCAATTTTTCCGAGTTCTAAGTCGGAATAATCGATTTTTCCGAATTCTCAGTCAGAAAAGTCGATTTTTCAGCTTACTAAGTCAGAATATTTACCTTTTTCCGAATTAAAAGTTAGAAAAATCGATTTTTCCAATTTCTAGGACAAAAAAATATAATTTTTGACCCTCATACACTTCCGTAGTTTTCTTTCTTTTTATATGTTATTTGTTTTGTCTATTAGATATAATTCTTTGTATAATAAAGCTATTTTTATGCGAAAAAATCATAAATTTTACGAAACTTACCGGCAATCCATTTTTATTGAATTCTTCCAAAGTAGGTCCCGAATTTCTCCGCCGCCTTCTGAAATTCTGCGTGGGCGGCGGTTTATCATCGGTAGCCACGATGTTCACCTTCCCCGACTCGGCAGCGAAGTGTACCTCAGTCTTACAAAACTCCACTTTCTTAATCTTCCTCATGTTGTCTTCCTCCTGCTTGATCTGTTCGTTCAACGCCAAGCTGATCCTTCTGAAACTATTGTCGGTACTTCTGGTGACGTATTTCGATTCGTCTACCGCTATCGAATGACGTTTGACAGTTTGGAGCTGTTCTTTGTCGGCGTCGTTCCACGATAGGTCAATTATGTTGTTGTTTTTCGATATAGGAATAGTTATGGTCGTCGATTTCAGTTCTGTGCTGGAATTCGACCAATCTGGGATGGTTTTACGCCAGTTTTCCGTTTTGGTGGTAGGGGATGGTGGATCGTCTTGATTGAAGCTGCTAGCGAGGCGTTTGACCTGAAAAAATGCTTTATTATGTACCAAACGACTTTTATTAAATGTCCGAAATGCAATTTGGTCCATTATGTTTTAAAAAAACACGTACCTGTCCAATTTGTTGATTGTTTTTGCTCTTATCGAATTCGTTGTACTTTCGTTCAAATTCGTTGTGTTCGTCCGAACTGTAAGCGTCTTCTTTGTATCCGTTTTTCTTCAATGGCGTCACGATTTCCGTACTTCTACATATTCCGCTGTCCGTCGAACTTTCTACGAGATTTTTATTTTTCAATAGGATCGAAGTCGTGGTGTCGTTGTGGTTGTGGACTTTTTCGAAACCGTACGATTTCCTGCGGTTGTACCAGTCTTCGTTCTTATTCGTGGGGACGAGTTTTACTCTCGATTCCAGACTGCCGGTGCCTATTCCGGGTTTTTTGTTCAGCAAGGCCTCCATTCCGTAGACGTAGGAGCGCACCCGAGAATTTTCGATGAGCGGCATGTCGTCGTTTTTGTCGGGCGACGTTTCTTCTGTTACTATGCCGTCATCGGGGTCGTCGTCTTTGTCGTTTGCCTGAAATTAGATTGTGTAAGTTTCGAATGAAGAAAATAAGGTTATAGGCGAAGAAAAAACATATTCCACAAAATGACAGTCAAAATTACCCTAAAGCATAAAGTATGAATATTTAACCAATAAAACCCAATTGATAGTAATCTTGACTTGAGTTATAGTCATCTCCTCGTATTAATGAGCCAAATCATAAATTATAAGAACCAGAAAATAATATTTCATATAAAGATTAGATATTGATTTTTTCATGTAATTTTAAGCTTAGTCGAGTCATTTTCTTTAAAGCAAATAGTTGTTGGAAATACATCCAACATATTCTGATAATATCTAAAGCTAACCCTGTCCCTGAATTAACTTAAAAGTTCTGAGTTGATTAATTGTGATATATCCATCTCTTTCGCGTGCAAAACTGCAAGCGGTGAATTTATGCAGTTATGCCGTAACCTTTGAAAGGTCACGCCGCGTCGAGAATGGTCTCATAACTTTGGAAGGACGTATAAAAATAAGAGTGAGAGAAACATAAAAAAATTGCAGAACAACTTACCGGGAACACTAGGGAAAAATCAATAGTAGACTATTGAGTTTTAGGAAAGTCATGTGGAATAATTATATATATAAATTAAATTACAAGTGGTAGGATTTAAAGTCTGATATACACCACACATACAAATTGTATTATTTTTATAACAACGGTGAAATATCAGAATAGTGATTTTTGTCAAAGTTATTATGAAAGTGTTGGAAAGTTGCCATATATCAACTGTAGTTACAGAGCAGGGACTTAATTAAAGATATATACATTATTAGACTAACCTTATAAATATCGTTGGTGGGCGAATTGGTCCTTCTCAATCTCCCTTTAACTTCTTTAATAGATTCCACGGTAACGAAAGAATTCCTTTTCTGCTTCCTGACAGACTCGGTTTCGAGATCATCACTCGCCTTATCGCTGCTACTGGAATTGGAAATTGATTGCAAGATCTGATCCAAAGCGTCCAAATCCACGCTGTTATTCCTGAGCGCCGTATTCAATCTCCTGCCCTTTTCTAACTCTTCGCGAATCTTTCTAACGCTCCCGGTGTTATCAGGTAGATCCACGGGTTTAACTGTCGTCGGTTTGTTCTGTTTCGGAAACTGCAAGGACCTTCTGATCTTCGACGTCCTTCTCCAACTGTCCGAATCCTCTATACTGTTATTAGTCGTATCTTTTTCCGGTATCAGGCTAATGTCGTCACTGCTACTGCTTTTAGTTCTAACTAGATTACTATGCGTACTAATATTATCACTAATTCTATTACTCTCACTGGAAGCACTTTCGATTTCGTAAATTTCTACGCTACCATCGCCCGATTGGCGATCGGAAATGGTCGGGCGATCCGAACTGTCCGGTTCGGTGACGATCGGCCTCGGCGATCGTCTGCCGAACGCCTGCCTGACGGCGTTTTCGTGGATTTGGTGACACAAGCGCGACACTCGATGGAGATTCGTCGATGCGGTGATGTGGGCGTGGCTGAACGGGTCTGTGGCTTCTTTGAGAAGATCCTTGGCTCGTTGGCGGGTGGGGGGTCGTCTGGATGCGCTCCTGCCTACGGAGGCTTTGGATTTTTGGGATGTCAGGTCCAGCGGGTTGATGGAGAGCTGTAACAATATATATTATTAATATTATTGCCTTTATTTAGCTAATTTTGCTAATATCAAAATAAAAATATATATCGCGGGTATATCGTTTTCACTTTGATAAAAATTAGATTTCTACATCAAATTTTTGCTTTCTCATATGCATCGTTACAGAAAACTGGTAAAGTATGGTTTTCTGATCCAAAAATAAACAGGATTTTTTATATTTCCAATAATCAAAGATCAACTGGAAGGATGACGATTTGACACTGATGATGCCTTAATTACAGCTTGGGTGGGGATCTAGGGTCCAAACATTTTAACTTTCTCACCAACATATAAAAATGGAGAAGTTATTGCAATTACCTCAAACTTCAAATTCGAGATAATACCAGAAAAACATGATTTTTGAAAAATGTGCTGACGTACGTAGATACGTTAGCATGATACATTCCAAATTATCCGGCCGATTTCCATGGGGCCCCTGAAGAGCAATTGGTGGGATACTTTAAGGAGGGGTCGTTTTTGTACTTTTTGGTATATTCCTGTTATTTATAATAGGAGCCAAGCATTGTTTGAATAAAAGTTTTTGTAATCTCATTTTCTATAATTTTTGTTATATACTGTAAGGCGTTTTCTTGCATCTTCTAGTGAAGATGACGGAAAAACTCCAGAGGTCTCGTTGATATCAGACTATGAATATAAGAGGGTAACAATAACGGGATTTAATCGTTATTGTTACGTAAAAGAATTTTTGAAAGCTGAAAAACAAAAGGGAAAGATCGACACACAATTATAAGCCAAATTTTTAAAAATTAATACATCTATTGCTTACGAAAGCTATTAACAATGTTTTTATTTACGTTAATATCTCAAAGTCCAAGCCCTCCCTCCATTGGTCTTCATAACCCTGAACAAAAATAAACAAAAACAAGCGGTTGTCCCTAGAATGTAATATTATATTAAAAAATGTTTCGGGTTAGAAGTATGTGGAACATGTATATATTTAGTTTATCCTTCAAACATTTATAGAGGTGCTACAATAGGTTGTACAAAATAACTGGAAAAAGCCTGTAATAACTAGATAAGAAAGTCATGTGTTGGACACATCAGATTTTTAATCATTAAGATACTTCCTTTAAAAAATTACTAATCTTTTATCATAATTTTTTATCACGTTATTTGATAATGTTCATTGATAATGTTATTTAATAATATTATTTGTATTTGATGTTTCGTTATTTTTTAATAATATTCTTTGACAATCTTATTTGACAATCCAAAAAAATGAAAATCGTATTTAAAATGTGCAAATTGTTAAAAATATCTAAAACTATTTCCTGTGTTATATTTAAATAAGCCTCTTGGATAATGTTCTTTGATAATGATATTTGATAATGTTCTTTGATAATGTTCTTTAATAATTGTCTTTGATAATTTTCTTTGTTAATGTTATTTATTAATATTATTTGTATTTGACGTATTTTGTTATTTTGTGATAATATTCTTTGACAATCTTATTTGATAATCCAAAAAAATAAAAATCGAATGTGCAAATTGTTAAAAATATCTAAAATATTTCCTGTGTTATATTTGTAAACTATTATTTAAATTAATACTATGGTAAAATGAAATATACGAATCAGAACAAGAAATAATATATTTTACGTCTGTACCAAACAAATATTTAACAGTGAATAATCCAATTCCCCTAAACTAGCAACCACCGCATCGATAGTCACGTAACAGGGCTACGTCGTATTCTTCGTATCAGAACTAAGTCACCCTATTAAGGTTCCTAGTTTATTAAGGTTTATTATATATTTAAATAAGCTACTTGGAAATATTCTTTGATAATGAAATTTGATGTGTTTTGTTATTTTTTGATAATAGTCTTTGACAATCTTACTTGACAATCTTATTTGACAATCCAAAAAAAATGAAAATCGTATTTAAACTGTACATATTGTTAAAAATATCTAAAATATTTCCTGTGTTATATTTAAATAAGCCCCTTGGATAATGTTCTTTGATAATGATATTTGATAATGTTCATTAATAATGTTCTGTGATGATGTTCATTGATAATGTTCTTTAATAATTTTCTTTGATAATGTTCTTTGTTGTTATTTAATATTATTATTTGTATTTGATATTTTTTGTTTTTTGACATTCTTTGATAATCCAAAAAAATGAAAATCGTATTTAAAATGTGCAAATTGTTAAAAATGTGTAAAATATTTCTTGTGTTATATTTAAATAAGACTCTTGGATAATGTTCTTTGATAATGTTATTTGATAATTTTCTTTGATAATTTTCTTTGTTAATGTTATTTAATAATATTATTTGAATTGGATGTGTTTTGTTATTTTTTGATAGTATTCTTTGACAATCCAAAAAAATGAAAATCTTAAAATGTGCAAATTGTTAAAAATATCTAAAATATTTCCTGTATTATATTTAAATAAGCCTCTTGGATAATGTTCTTTGATAATGTTCATTGATAATTTTTCTTTGATAATGTTCTTTGTTAATGCCATTTAATAATTTTATTTTTATTTGAATTTTTTTGTTATTTTTTGATAATGTTCTTTGACAATCTTTTTGATAATTCAAAAAAATTAAAAAGGTATTTAAAATGTGCAAATTGTTAAAAATATCTAAAATATTTCTGGTCTTCTATTAAAATAATGCTCTTGGATAACGTTCTTTGATAATGTTATTTGATAATGTTATTTGACAATGTTATTTGTTAATGTTCTTTGTTCTTTGATAATGTACTTTAATAATATTCTTTGATATTTTTTAATAATGTTCTTTAGTAATATTTTTTGATAATGATTCTTGATAATGTTCTTTGATAATGTTCTTTGATAATGTTCTTTGACAGTCATCTTTGATAAATTTCTGTTACTTTTATTTAATAATGTTTCTTAATTCGCTATCGTCATAAATGGCGCCACAATGTCAGTGTGACAAATAATTTTAAATGGAATATTACAAGTGATGCTTCGTTTGAATGGTATTTAAAAGACCTATTCAACCGTCACAATTTTGTACAAAATAAAAAAAAAATGTAAAGAGAATTATTTGGACAAGAAATATAAACAACATTAACAACCAATGCTTAAGAGATGTATAATATACAACAAAATTAAATAAACCAAACGCTATGTAAAAAAAAAGTTGAAATTACATTCTCAAAGATCTGGTGACAACCTTGAATTTTAAATTTTCGCAAATTATCGACTGAAGAAGTTTATTTTAAAAATGAAATTAAAATAAAAAATGATAAACCGGTCGTTGTAATAAACGATAATCGTGTTTTTCATTTTTTTACGCATAATAAAATGTCCCATTAATTGCACCTCCTTAACCTTAACAGCGAATTTAAATAAAACAAAGACTAAGAGCGGGCGAAGAATGCGGTTAATGTTTTGTTTTCGTCGTCAATAAGGTGCGATATTAGAAGTTTCAAGACATTTATTGGTTGATTAGTTAAGTTTGAATTGAAAAAGGCGATTGTAAACAAGGTTTTTGAAAGGAAACATGAATATAAACTGCGATAAGTCCATAAAATGGTGGAGATTATGTGTTTATTATTAAAGAACTAATATACGTATAAGGACTTAAAAAGGTTTGAGATTTCTATATAATATAATATATTGTTTTTTTTTTTTTAAATAAACTCCGCTTTGTTTAATAATAATTTCCCTTTTATGTTATGTTACATAACTCTTTACAAATAGATAAGAAAGAAGCAATCATATTGAAACGAGAAAATCTAGTGACTATAATTTCAATAAAAAAAAATTTTCATTGTAATCATTGTCAAAGAACATTTTCAAAAAAATATTATTAAAGAACTAAATATCAAAAAAACAATATTAAGAAATATTATCAAATTATCAAAGATCACTGTCAAAGAACATTATAAAGGATCATTATCAAAAAACATTACTAAAGAAAATTATTAAAAAAAAATATCAAAGAATATTATTAAAGTACATTATTAGAATCCTCAAGGTCCTGTATCAAATATGGAATGTTTAGTTTGACACATTGTTTTAATTTGTATGGTTAAAAAAATAGTTTTACCACTGTATAATGAAACTTACAAACAAAGCATAAAATTTATTGCAAAATTAAATTTCTCTCTATTGACGTGGTTTTTTTTTTCAGAAAAAATAAAAGGTTCAATGAAACAAATTCCATGTGACACAATTTCTAGGTAGGAGCGATTCTTTATAAGGAAGTCAACGACTGGTTTTTCTGCAAAAAACAATAAAAGTCGCAGTGAATAAACATAACATTACGATTTCAATGTTACGCGAATGTTTAATTATTGCATAATGAAATAATAATAACATATTATGTTGCCATGGAGGAAATAACAAACACATTGTATGAAGCGAGGCAATATTATTGAGCAAATAAATGGCAGGGAAGACATTTTTAATTTTAGATTAAATGTTGATCAAAAAATTATAACAATCTAAAAGGTATTTTGGGACAATTTTAGGTAATTTTGAATCAAAAATAGTCGTCAAATTTGGTCTATTAGATATAGTTTTTGAGATATGCTAGATTGTCCTTTATTAGACTAATTGCATTTTATTTTTTGATTTGTAACTTATTTTATACAAACAAGCGTTTAAATTTGAAGTTTTAAGTATTGACGCTAAATAGGTTTAAAATAACAGAAATTCATTATAAAATAGATGAAAAAACTAGATAAACCAAAACTAGTCTAAAAATATTTTCTATTTCGAAAAATCTCAAAACTGGTTGAATTACGGAAAACAAACGTTTTGAATTACAAGTTTAAAAAATTACTCTAAATAGGTTTAAAATAACATAAATTCATTATAAAACAGATGGAAAAGCTAGAAAGCCTAAACCCAAAACTAGTCCAAAAATGTTTTCTATTTCGAAAAATCTCATCTGTTTATTTGACGGAAAACAAACGTTTAAATTTGAAGTTTTAAGTATTGACGCTAAATAGGTTTTAAAATAACAGCAATTCATTATGAAACAGATATAAAATAAATTTCAGTTTTTCGGGAAGTCAATTTTGTTTGATACATATTTAATAATCTTAATGTTTAAGCTAAATACATCACTCTTATTAAAATGTAACGTAATAACATAGTTGTGGAATATTTTTGTTAAATAAAGTAATTTCTGTGAATATTATCTTTAGAGACTTGGTATGCACCAGGTTCTAAAAGTGATCTGATTTACGTATACGTAGCTTAATAAAATCATAAAAGTTAAATTAGTTTATTTTTATTTAAAAACGTAATTTCAGTGAGCAGCATCTTCAGAGAGTTGGTATGCACCAGGTCCTAAAAATGATCTAAATTACGTCTACGTAACTTAATAAAATAGTAAAATTAAAATTACTATATTTTTATTTAAAAACGTCATTTGTTTGGGCATCATCTTCAGAGAGTTCGTATGCACCAGGTCCTAAAAATTATCTGAATTACGTCTACATAACTTAATAAAATAGTAAAATCAAAATTACTATATTTTTATTTAAAAACATCATTTGTTTGGGCATCATCTTCAGAGAGTTGGTATGCACTAGATCCTAAAAATGATTTAAATTACGTCTACGTAACTTAATAAGATCAGCAAAGCTTGAATTAGAATATTCTTATTTAATTTTCTGTGGGCATCATCTTCAGAGAGTTGGTATGCACTAGGTCCTAAAAATGATTGAATTACCTCTATAGGTAACATAATAACATGAAAACTAAACTTATTACTAGATAGGCTTTATCTAGATAAAAAAAGCTTTAGTTTTTGTGGACGACTTTAACAGAGAATTTGTCTTCACTTTAACATTCAGCAGGTTAATTTTTAATTATTATATTTTTTCTCCAAAGCTGGTATTTCTGTGAAAATCGTCTTCAGAGAACTATTGATCACCAGGTTGAAAAATAGTCTTAATTAGGATAGATGATGTAAGAATTTTAGAAAACTTAAAACAATTATATTTCTATAAAAATAATGCGTAATTTCCGTGGACATCATCTTCAGAGAGTTTTATCCTATTAGCTCCGGTCTAGGTATACCCAAAATACCAAAATGATTTCTCATACACATTGAATATATTATATCGGAAGGCTCCGAAATTTAATAAGAGATCAACAACAAATAATTGGCCACTTCTGTTGATGGATGTACAGTTAGACGAGTTGTTGAGCATTTTTAATAATCAGCAATCAGGTGGTTGTCTATCATATCATAATTTACATAAGATAAGAAAGTACGGTGCTGGTTGAGGTACGGATAGACGGTTTGCTGGGCCCGTAATATCTGTGTTATTACTGGGAAGTGGCTGTAAAATCGATTTTTTATTCATCTTTCTAGAAAAAGTGCCAGAAGTATAATTACAACATAAACGTATATATCTTGATTGACGTAGAATTTAAAACAAATAAAATGTTTTTACTTTTCTTCCTACAAGATGTAATCCTGTCACAAATGTTAAATTTTCACAACAACAAAAAAACACTCTGAAGCTGATGGACACAAAATTATTGCATTTTACAAAATCGTAATAATTTTACTTTTCTGGTATTATTTCACTAGGTATACAGAAATAATTTAAACTTTTTTTAAGACCTTGTGCGAAAAAACACTTTGAAGATGATGTCCACCGAATTGATATATTTTTATAAAATTGTAACAAGTCTACTTTCCTGACATTATTACATTTTCTAAAAGTAATGAAGAATCTTTTTAACATTTTGTAGGTACGTAAAAATACTGTGAAGATGATGTCCACAGAATTGAAGTATTTTTATAAAATCGTAATAATTTTACTTTCCAGAAGTAATTAGAACTCTTTTTAGGACCTTATGCGTAAAAACACTCTGGAAGATGATGTTTACAGTATTTATATATTTTGAAAAATTGTAACAATTCTACTTGTCTGACATTATTACATTATCCAGAAGTAATTAAGACCCTTTTTAAGACCTTGAACGTAAAAACACTCTGAAGATGATGTCCACCAAATTAATATATTTTTATAAAATTGTAACAAGTCTACTTTCCTCACATTATTACATTATCTAAAAGTAATTAAGAATCGTTTTAACATCTTGTACGTAAAAACATTCTGAAGATGATGTCCACAAAATTGAAGTATTTTTGCAACGTTTGTAGGCAAATTTGATTTCTTGGATAAACCACTCACGTCAGAATCAATCCTGTACCTGGTTAAAACTCTTAGTCACCAACACCTACACTTCATCGAACATACAAAATTAGCATTTAGGTACATATGAAACGTCTAACAGGGTACTCACGTGTAAATTTTCGAAATCCTTGCTGCTACCACCGAGAAAATCCTGCTGAATCGAAGCAGAATTCGCGGCCGAGCTCCATTTGCTGGACGACACCGTTTGAGTTTTTACCAGTTGGTATCGCGAGCCCGGTACCTCGCTGTGGAAGACTTCCAACTGCCGCCTGGCGATTTGATGGAGGGCACCGTCTGCGTCCGAGCGCGTTCTAGAGTCCACTACCTGCGGATATGGAAAGAATAGAACATGAAATGAGAATGCTGGTTTCGACTTTGGTAATAGTACGAGAAAATTCAGTAACGATTTTATACAAAATCCTATAATCTTAAAAATTATGAGCTTATATTTTTTTTAGTATATATCTTGAGATGAAATAAAAATAATAAATAGTAAATATATTTTTTCTACAAACCACTAATGAAAATTTTAAAAATATATTAAAAATTAATTTATAGGTTTTTAAGATAATTTATATTTTATTTTTTGAAATAAAAAACGATTTAAATTGGACCTTATCCTGGATTTTAACCCTGGACCTTCTGCGTGGGAACTATAAACTAACAAGACAAATAATATACAAAGTGGGCCACTCAAAATAATCAAGCCTAAAATACTAAAAACATTATGTACTTTTATACTACACCAGGTGGTTGCCCGCGGCTTCGAACGCGTGGAGTCGTGTTTTTAATACAAAAAAATGGATGACTGCTCAGAAAAAGAGGGATAATATATTTTTTAGAGTTCGTGTGATAGTATTATACTTTAGAGTAATCTAATATTTAAGGATAGTAATCTAATTAAGAATATCTTTGTACACAACATTTCTGGTACGGCTTTTATCTGCTAATATTACCAGTTTGCATGCAAAACTAACTCTAACAGGTCCATTAAAACTCTCCGTGAAAAAAGCAGGTCTTCCTTAGGCTGTTAGGTTGTTGAGACATCGAGATATGTCGTTTTTATCAATTCACTACTCATATTTTTCATACTAGGTCGGAAGAAGTTCCAATTTTGCGTTTTTAATTATTTTTATTATGTATTTTTATGTATTTTTATGTATTTTTATGTATTTTTATGTATTTTTATGTACTTTTATGTATTTTTATGTATTTTTATGTATTTTTATGTATTTTTATGTATTTTTATGTATTTTTATGTATTTTTATGTATTTTTATGTATTTTTATGTATTTTTATGTATTTTTATGTATTTTTATGTATTTTTATGTATTTTTATGTATTTTTATGTACTTTTATGTATTTTTATGTATTTTTATGTATTTTTATGTATTTTTATGTATTTTTATGTATTTTTATGTATTTTTATGTATTTTTATGTATTTTTATGTATTTTTATGTATTTTTATGTATTTTTATGTATTTTTATGTATTTTTATGTATTTTTATGTATTTTTATGTATTTTTATGTATTTTTATGTATTTTTATGTATTTTTATGTATTTTTATGTATTTTTATGTATTTTTATGTATTTTTATGTATTTTTATGTATTTTTATGTATTTTTATGTATTTTTATGTATTTTTATGTATTTTTATGTATTTTTATGTATTTTTATGTATTTTTATGTATTTTTATGTATTTTTATGTATTTTTATGTATTTTTATGTATTTTTATGTATTTTTATGTATTTTTATGTATTTTTATGTATTTTTATGTATTTTTATGTATTTTTATGTATTTTTATGTATTTTTATGTATTTTTATGTATTTTTATGTATTTTTATGTATTTTTATGTATTTTTATGTATTTTTATGTATTTTTATGTATTTTTATGTATTTTTATGTATTTTTATGTATTTTTATGTATTTTTATGTATTTTTATGTATTTTTATGTATTTTTATGTATTTTTATGTATTTTTATGTATTTTTATGCACCTTTCTAGCAAAAGTGCCAGAGGTATAATTACAACATAAACGTATACATTTTGATTGACGTAGAATTTTAAATAAATAAAATGATCTTATTTTTCTTCCTACAAGATGTAATCCTGTCACAAATGTTAAAATTTCACAACAACAGAAAACACTCTGAAGCTGATGCCCAGAGAATTAATGCATTTTACAAAATCGTAATAATTTAAACTCTTTAAGACCTTGTGCGAACAAATACTCTGAAGATGATGTCCACAGAATTTATGTATTTTTAAAAATCGTAACAATTCTACCTTCCTGACATTATTACATTATCCAGAAGTAATAAAGACCCCTTTTAGGACCTTGAACGTAAAAACACTCTGAAGATGATGTATACCGAATCGATATATTTTTATAAAATTGTAACAAGTCTACTTTTCTGACATTATTACATTATCCAGAAGTAATAAAGGCCCTTTTTAGGACCTTGAATGTAAAAACACTCTGAAGATGATGTCCACCGAATTGATATATTTTTATAAAATTGTAACAAGTCTACTTTCCTGACATTATTACATTATCTAGAAGTAATAAAGACCCTTTTTAGGACCTTGAACGTAAAAACACTCTGAAGATGATGTCCACCGAATTAATATATTTTTATAAAATTGTAACAAGTCTACTTTCCTGACATTATTACATTATTCAGAAGTAATAAAGACCCTTTTTAGAACCTTGAACGTAAAAACACTCTGAAGATGATGTCCACCAAGTTGATATATTTTTATAAAATTGTAATAAGTCTACTTTTCTGACATTATTACATTATCCAGAAGTAATAAAGGCCCTTTCTAGGTCCTTGAATGTAAAAACACTCTGAAGATGATGTCCACCAAATTGATATATTTTTATAAAATTGTAACAAGTCTACTTTTCTGACATTATCCAGAAGTAATAAAGGCCCTTTCTAGGACCTGGAATGTAAAAACACTCTGAAGATGATGCCCACCGAATTGATATATTTTTATAAAATTGTAACAAGTCTACTTTCCTAACAATATTACATTATCCAGAAGTAATAAAGGCCCTTTTTAGGACCTTGAACGTAAAAACACTCTGAAGATGATGTCCACCGAATTAATATATTTTTATAAAATTGTAACAAGTCTACTTTCCTGACATTATTACATTATTCAGAAGTAATAAAGACCCTTTTTAGGACCCTGCACGTAAAAACACTCTGAAGATGATGTCCACCAAATTGATATATTTTTATAAAATTGTAACAAGTCTACTTTCCTGACATTATTACATTATCCAGAAGTAATAAAGACCCTTTTTAGGACCTTGAACGTAAAAACACTCACACTCACATTATTACATTATCTAAAAGTAATGAAGAATATTTTTAACATCTTGTACGTAAAAATACTCTGAAGCTGATGTCCACAGTATTGAAGTATTTTATAAACTCGAAATAATTTGACTTATCTGACATCGTCATCTAAACCTTCTAAAATGGTAATTTCTAATACTTCTTCCATATTATATACTATTATAGACAATAAGAACGATGAACTATAATTTAAAATGTTTAAAATGAGGTTAGAAATATGTGTAAGGACAAGGACTATAATGTCACAACTGCCTCTTGCCTTGCCTCTAATTACATTGTTACTATTAGTGGCTGACGTTATAGAAATTTGCAATATCTCTTTATTAAATAGGATAATTTCCATAACTAAATTAGTGGTAAATATCAGTAAAATATTCCTGTACTATCAATTATTGTTTGGTAGAATGATTGTTGAATAAATTACATATATATGTATATGTGTTTAGTGGTTCGGTTAGTCATATACATAGTAGGCTACGGCGGTCATGGGTTGCATCCCATCGGTTACCATTTTGCTACGGAACGCCGTGACCTTGCGTGCACTCTGTATATATCTCTATAAATGCCTCGCGGAAAAATCGAAAAGATACTACTAAGTGAAGACGGTACCAATGTGAACTACATTCTAGAAACGAATATTATTATTTATTGATTGATGCGTTTTGAGGTTATGTTTAATAATAATAATAATAATAATATTGTTAATAAACGGTCCAGAATTTCGATAAACTTAAATATGTATATACAGTATGTCCCATGATTGCTCAAAGAACGGTCTAAATTTATTTATTTATTTATGGGTGATATTTTTACAATAAGATTATGTTAAATACTTTTATATATACAGTGAATACTCTGTATATATTACAATATATAACAGTCTATTACAAATTTAATATAAACAAAGTAAAAGTTATTTGAAATAAGTATTAAATAACTATTATACATATATGCAACAAATAGCTGAAATATTTTTATTAATAGTAAGTAAATAATGTATTTATGCATTAGATAATAATTAATAAATATTTATTTTTATTAAAATTAGGATTTATTAGTAAATAGAAAATTTTTATTAGGATTAGGTTATTTCTATTAGGATATTAGTAGTTAAGAATGCATTTTATATTAATTAAAAACTATTTTTATTTAAATGTAAATTTATTAATTGCTAAAACATATTTATTTGGAAACATACAACAAATGGTTTGTTAACATTTAAACTAATTTAAAAACCTAACGTTTTTAACTATCATTTTTAGCAACATAATTATTTAAATAGAAAGTTTTATTTTAGTAATTGGAATTTTTTTATTAATTTATAGAAATTTACTAAAATCTACCAATAAAAAATTTCACCCACTGCCATGATACTGTAGAAACAAGGTATGCTATTACGCCGATTGATACTACGTCATTGTGGTGTGAAGGCGTAGCTTTTACGAATTTGAGGTATCAGCTGATCGAAAACAGCGTACGAAAATAAATGTAAATCTACTTAGGGCCACTTACGTCCGTATGCACCGTACACGTTTAATCCAGATCAAGAGTTTAATCGCGTTTAGTACCATTTTTAGCTATGGTACTAAACGCGATTAAACCCTTGATCTGGATTAAACGTGTACGGTGCATACGGGCGTTAGGTAGTCATATTCCACACCACAATACGTCATACGCGAACTCGACGAGATTTCGTCAGCTAAATATCATACCTTTGTAATTTTTTTTATCATGACCTACTGCAACGTCAACAGACAAGAAAACAACATGTTATTGTGTTTCTGTTTGCAAGAAAAAAGAGAAGCCAAGCACCGCCATCATGGTAAAAAGGGATGTCATAAAAACAATCCTTATTATTATTAATTTCCTAGAAATAAAAGTGTACATAATGTAAAAAGTATATATAGTTTAGTGAACTATAGATTTTTATCACTATTAAGTGGCTAT